GATAACCTTTTTCGCTCTAGTTTTTTCTTATGATAGCTCTCCCCAATGAAATTGCAGCTCTATGTTAGTAAGCTCTTGTTAGTTTTAAATATTACAAGAATAAAGTGGCCCCAGATTTTTGATAAAGATATTAGCTGATTGTTCTTAACTAGGGGTGTGCAGAGTGATAATCTTCTTTGAGAATGCATCTTTGACATCATGGCAATCCACTTTAATTTTTTTGGTTCTCTCGTGGAAGCTAAGGTTGATTGCAGAGAAAATAACTACTTAATTATCACAGTTAAAGATCATAGATTGTGTGACAGAGAATCCATATTGTTCAATTAGAGTTGTAACATCAATAATCTTTTTTTGAGTACGGAATAACCCTAAAAGGTGCGTAGAATAACTGATAGAGAGAGTTTATTATAGCTTGGGTGAGAAGAATGAACAAAACAAATATAGCCAAAGATGTGAAGGGTTAAGTGAAATGGATATTTATGATGATAAATAATGTAGAATGGAGTGGCATTTTTCAGAACTATTGGTAAAAGTTGATAAATTGCCAATTAATAAAAATAATCCCCTCAAAATTGGCATGGAGCATGTACAATAAGCATTAAGTTGTGAGTGCATAAAGAGGATGATAATGCTTACATTTGACAGACACATAATTGATTTATAATGTCATTCTTGATGTTTAAAGAGCAACATGAGGATCAGGCAGTATCGCTGTGAATATTGATTTGAAAGGAAAATTATACCTTCCTTTCTTGATGGTAATTTGAACATCTATAAGCCTTTAGATTAACTTTTCAGCAGATAAAGTCAAAGTAATCTGGTATGCTCATCACTAAATGAGATGAAGTAATAGAAACCTAGGTCTGGCTACCATCGGACTTGGCTTCGTATGTTGCAGTGAATTGAACAAAAGATGAATTGTTATGCGAAGATGAATACATGGAAATGACACATGATGTTTTCTTATTAATTGGCACCACATTTAAATTTTGAAACGGAGGATGACACATGGGTGAAGTTTCAAAATAGCGAGGAGGGTGAACTAGATTGATTAACCCATAACATAAAAAGATAAGATCAAAATTTCTTTAATATTTACCTCAATTTTTGCATACAATATTGACTCAAAAATAAAAGATTTTTAACCTTTTTTCTTATTGTTATTTTCTTTCTTTTATTATTATTCCTATCTTCCTAGTTCTATTTTCAAATTAACAAGGAAAAGAAAATCAAATTAGATAGAAAGGGAAAAGAAAAAGATCTGTAGATTGGGCTCTTTGTCTCCGGGGTATATATTCTTTTTTTGTTCTTATTTTTCTATAATTTTAGAATTTTTTACTTCTTAGATTCTTCTTATGATTTTTAATCACAGTACAGTCTAAAAGTTTAAAAAGTATAAAAAGTCTATAAAAAAGTCTATCTTCTTTTATATTATTTAAAATAGAAAAAATATAAAGTAAAAGTATAGACAGTGCATAGTATATAATAATACTAGACTATAATATTAGATTATTAGAATTATCTCTTAGAATAATTAGAAGAATAATAATTCTATTATTATAATTTATTATAATTTATTCTAGTTAGAATTTCTACTATTTTCTTATAAAGAGTATTTTACTATAAGAGAAAAAATAGACTATATACAACATACACACATACGCCGTTCTGACCATATTGCACTATGTATCATTTCATAACACAAGAAAAGCCTCTCTTTTTTGGTTAAAGTAGAAATGTATTGAAATAGCAGAATTACAAGGATATTTAGATTGAAAAAAGAGAGATTTTGGCAACAAAACTTCCTATATCCGCTACTCCTTCAGGAGTATATTTACTCACTTTGACATATCATTCACATTCTAGTATTCATAGGTTACTTCATATGCTGCCTGTTGATGCCTTGGATACAGGTTAATGCTAACATGCTGAATTGCTGATACATTGCTTGCAATATTTTAAACACTTATAATATTAATGCTAAAAGAATAATAATAATAATAATAATAAATTATGAAATGTCATGTCATGTCATGTGAGATAGGTTGACAAATTATGATGATCTATGCAAGGAGAGAAACATTCTTTTTAGATGAATCTTAATATGGAAAGAGTTTTTGACTCTCAATAATTGTCATACATCTTGGAGTACTCTTATTTTTATTGGAGGCTATTTATAATTATGATGTTGGCACAAATCTAAATCTTATGAACTATGATAATGGGTTTGAGCTAAGTAAAGGTCATATGATATGTAAATGTGTTAAAATTTAAACATACATTATATGATAACTTAAGACTAACAAAAATGAGAATAAAAAAGTAAAATAATTATTTTCATACTAGCATCTGGCTAGCATAGTGTATTAAAGATTAGATATCGGATAATTGTATTTTATTTATTTGTAGACATTTTTTATTATTGTTTATGATTTTGTTCTTTACATCCTTAGTTATCAAAACATGCCTTTATCTAGAGTTACATCACTTAGCTAGTTATATTTAAAATTATTAATACTTATGTTAGCACAAATCATCAATACATATATTTTTCTACTTTCAATTTTATTTTAAACTATATATTAAAATTATTTTTCCTATCAATTTTTTAGCTCATTAGATATTTCCATGAATATTATTAAATAAGGGAAAAAAGCAAGTTAGGTAATTATAAGATAATCCAATTTTGTCTTGCATCGCAGTATTTTGATATGTATTTTTGGATGTATTGTAGAAAAAGGATGTGCCTGATGCAAATTAAATTTTTTTTGTGTATATTATATACTTATATAAAGTTTAGTAGAAGCCTTATAGTTTTTTTTTGACAATTTAAATTGTAGTTTTTTTTGTTATGTATAATATTGTCAAAGATGTGGAATACTAGCGTTATTTTTACCAGAGCTTAGAGAAGAGAATTAATTGACATTGATAATAGGAGGGAGAGAGGTCATCATAAGGGATAAAAGAGGTTACGAATTCCACATCATATGGATAAAGCATCAGAATCTAGAATTCAAGACGATAAAGACTGCTTGAATAAACCCAGAAGAAGACGCAGCATGAGATGCTGAGATAGTTGTTTAAGATTCTTAAAGTAGTCAATGATAGTCTTCTATGGAGTGTAATTAATTCAGAAAATATGGCAATAGGAGTAGGCAAGGCTGAACCAACTTTGGAAACATGCTGAGCTATGGAGGTTTAGTTGAATGTCTTCTTGCAAAGTTCATTAGGATGTTTAGTGCAACTACAATGTGAGCATGTTGAAAAGGTGTTACAGCTACTACTGTGTCTGCACCAATATGCAAAATGTCTATGATTCTCTTAATCACCCCTAGAATCAGCAAACAAGGTTGATTGTTCAGGAGTAAGAGGGCGAGAATAAAGAGTTCTGTGACATAGAATTTAAGAGAGAGCAGTGACAATATTAAAAACAATGGAGTCTGTCCTTAATGAGATTGCACATCATGCATAAAATAGTGCATGCAAGCTATAATTTTGCTAAAATGAATACTCGATTTTTTTTTCTAAATAGTTGGATCAGTTGTTAAGGGTCAGCACTGTGGTACTCTTCCCACTCTTCTCTTAATGCCCAATAGTGTGCCTTAATTTGCCTATCATTTTCCTAAATGGAAAAAAACCCTTAAAATTAGAAAGTGTAAATATGAGTGAGGTTTCTTTTATTTTGGAAGTACATGGAACGAAAAAAAAAATCCAATATACTTTTGATAGTGTTGAAACAGGACAATTGAGGCAATGATGGATTCATGGCTATTGGGCAACTAAATAAGAATATCATCATTAGATGCTTTTCATTTTAAATTCGACTGGCATTATTATTTGGAGGAGAGGCTCAAGAGGGAGTTTTTGTGAAAACAAATAAGGAAGTTAAAGACCATCGACTAAAAGAGATAAATGGTACCTTTTAATTTTTTATTCGTACTGATGGTTGAGGGTTTCATATCATTGATAAAAGAGTGAGAAGCCGGCATTGTTTGAAAAGGTAGAGGAGAATATGAGAGGCAACTTAGATTAGAAAGCTTGTGCACTTAGTCATGAGGTTGTCATACCTGAGCATTAAATGTTACTTTTATTTCAATATGATTTAAACTTCATTGAAAAAAAAATGGAGCCCGGAAGGAGGCTGATCACCTCTAAACATTTCATGTTGTGATTTCATGTCTGATATAAGCGATTCATTATTCACTTGTGAATTTTTATTGACTACCTTGCTATGTGATAACTACATGTTTGTTTCAGGTTCAATCCTTATAAATGTTTCTGTAAATTTCTCATTCTATATAAAAACATAAAGAGGTTTATAAATGAGGGAGGTTATTAGTTTTTTGGAAAATGGGTTAGGGGAATATAAAAGCACTTGACCAAGTTGTTGGCATGGTGGTATCAATCATTTCTACTCAGCAGGTGTGCTAGACATGGGGGTAGCAATCATTTCCAAAACTACGGTTTGAAGTTTGGCAAAAATAAGGACATTAATATGAAGGAATGGCAAAATTTAGAATGATAGAGTGAGAATGGTTGTATTACAAATGTAGTGGGAGCAAAATCTATCAGAGATAGTTACTAGAAATTGACTTTTGATTTCAGAATTATTCCATGATGCGGACAATATGCACCTATGTTGCCCGTAGAAAGGGATGTACCTAAGGAGCATGGATCAAAGTTTCTAAAAAAAACTGCATAAACTTGAGAGAAGAAACATTGTACTCAATAAGGGTACATGCAGAAGGATTCATAAAGCCAAGCCCAATTCATTAGCATAAGTTTAATGATGATGTTGATACAAGTATATCACTGACAAACTGTAGTGAATTTATGGATCAGATGTCTGTAAGATTTCCTAAAGCGGTTCTGCTTCTGAATCCATACCAAGCATAGATATCAGATATTTTTGATGCATGTTAAATGATATGGTTCTTTTTTCTGTTCTTCCTTTTTTTTTTCTTTTTGATCTTATACATGAGTTGGTTCTATTTTTTCAGGATAAGGTTGTGCATGGTAGCATATACGTTCTTTGGATCTACCTTGTTTTTGCTGTCATTCTTCGAGCCTCTCAATATAGCTTTCGAGACACTGTTGGTAATCTCAATTCCCTTGCTTCCTTTACTGATTCCTCGGTAAAACTTTTCCCTCTGTACAATCATTTTTCGAAGTTTTTGATATGGTTATTTCTTGCATTACGTGTCTTAGTAAATTGAGGCATTAAAAGGATGCTCTTTGCAGTACTTGAAAAACATGTACATCGCCTACCTTCCAATCTTAGTAATGCAATTTTTTAGGGATGATGGAGTTTCTGAATACTTGTAGTTTTGGTAGGTGATGGCTTCTGAAAACATTGTTCTTTTCCCTTCACTCTAATGTGGAAAGCAAATTTTCTCTGACCAAAATTACTCGTATTTCCATGTGTTTGAGGAAAGAATAACAAGATTGAGCCATTAAATAGTCTGTTCTATATCACTTTAGATAAATTTAGCGAAATCTGGCCACTTTTCCATTAACTTCAGTTTCAAAACACATTAGTAACCTATTAAGGGGCTTAGGGAGGCTCAAGTACTTAAATGTCCAGCACCAAATTGAATCTCTCTCTCTCTCTCTCTATATGTGTGTGTGTGTGTGTGTGTGTGTTTGTTTGTGTGTTGAATCTGTGTTCACATTCCTGTAGAAGGATAAACCACTGCCTTTTCATGAGGAAAGAAATTTTCTCCCTGATTTTTTAGGCTTAATTTCCATTTATATAGCAATGGGATATTGTCGGCGTTTAAAAAGGGGGGAGTTACGTTTGGGGGTCGCCCGTAAGAAGCTGTCGGTCGCCGGAATCGAAATCCCGTCACCCGCTTCGGAAGGACTTTTTAATTTACATATATATATATAATTTTAGAAAAATACGAAATCAAACTGACCTCATATTTTTCACAGTTTAAATGAAAGAGCGCTCTACCTCAAATCCTGTATCTACCCCGAAGAATAAACACAAGACCTGAGGATGAAGCTCGATCAAATAAACTAAGAAAGATATGACGTCCGTTTGGGTCTGCGAAACCATTTTATTTGCCGACAAGTTCCCCTATTTAATACAAATAATTAAATAGGGTTTATTTTAAGCTGGGTTCGGAAAAGCTCCCTATAAGGGCAAGCCCCTATAGTTAATTAAATCTCAAATGACCGAAGTCACCTAAGAAAACTCTCGATAAAAATCAGGGGATAATGTCTTCAAAGAGGTCAAAAGGATAGGACTTTACAACGAAATCGGACGAAGAGGTGTGAAGGGGAAAAGCTCAAATCTGGAACATTGTTAAGGAATCCAAATGAAGAGAAACTAGGGGA